AAAACAATGGCTGGGCCTCTTCCCAGCCAGTCCTTAGGAGCGCGTGGCGTTATACCGGGGTTCAGATCCCGCCTTTTATCAGTTACGAGGCAGGACCCAGTATGAGTCCTGCTGTGAGGGCAGGGGACTGCTCATCCTCTAAAACAATGGCTGGGCCTCTTCCCAGCCAGTCCTTAGGAGCGCGTGGCGTTATACCGGGGTTCAGATCCCGCCTTTTATCAGTTACGAGGCAGGACCCAGTATGAGTCCTGCTGTGAGGGCAGGGGACTGACTCTCATGGTCCTGTCCAGTTCTGTGAGATGGTATCTCCATATTATGGATGATACGATTAACAGATAAGCCTAGAGTTATCCATTAATCTTGACTACTCGCATTTCCGGCCCCTTCTCCCCCTGTTCTTGGAGCAGCCTCTATTTGCAGGGAGCTCGGACAACCCATGGACAGGGGCTGCTGCCACCCTGCACTGCTGCCTCTGTATGAGAGGCAGCAGCGTGGGGCAGTAGGGAAGCTGGTTTTTAAACTGGTTCCCCTTGTGGACTATCTCCCACCTGTCACCCCACACGCTGCTGCCTCAGACACAGTAGCACGTGGGCCCGGGAGTGCACTGGCTGCCAGTCCCACCCTCGGGGACTATGAAATAGTCGTGTAACTGATAAGATTTCATGTGGTTACTTGATTGAAATTACTTGATATCTAACATCCCTACTGAGTATCCATAGATGATCTAACAATGAAGGATTAGAGATCCATGCTGAATTTTGTCAGCTGTCTCTGGTTTTCTTGATTGTTAGGTTTTGTTAACCCTTGAGGGAGTAAAGTGGTCTGCCTTACAGTGGATTCATTCTTATCTCTTAGGGTACATCTACAGAGCAGGGTTTAATTTGAAATAAGCTATGCAAATTGAACTGTGTCAATTGCATAGCTTATATTGAAATTGGGAGTGTCTACACAGCACTTATTTCAAAATAGAACGCTCTCCCTACGACTTCCCTTACTCCTTGTACAGTGAGGGTTACAGGAGTTGGAATAAGAAATCCTCCGGCTTGACAGTATTTCAACATTATTTTAAAATAATTCATGTTTCTGTGTAGACATACTCTCAGAAAGCAATTTTGGGCAACTGCTCTTCTGCTCCGAATGGTTGCATTCTGACTTACTTCACTGTGTGTAGGTCCATTGTTGTGGTTATTGAGAAGACTGTTTTTGACTATTCTAGCTCTTTTTAAAATCTTCATAGCATTTCCATGTCATCTTATATTTGTTTCATACTAGTATGAGAAGATGTTCTTTGTAGGAGGGGGAAATAAAAATCATTTCATTTTCTAGTTTTTCAGAGAACTGAAAAAATGTCTGGATTTCTTGAGAGCATGAGATGTTCAGAGTGTGTTGACTGGGGAGAAAAGCGAAATACAATTGCATCTATTGCTGCTGGTGTGCTGGTGTGTATAATTAACTATTTTTATATTACATGTGCTTTTGGCCTGTATTCAACAAGTCAAGTACTGCACTGAAAAGTCCCTGCATAGGACACAAAAAGAACACCACTTTGAATGTACAGTAAAACTCCATTGGTCCAGCATCTGATGGTCCGGCACTCCTGATGGTCCGGCACCATCAGGAACCCGGAAGTGCTCCAGGCAGCCAGACCATTGGAGCTGCTTTGCCCCCGGCTTCCCTGATTCAGCTGCTGTTGAAACTGACCAGCTGAAACCCCAACTGCTCTGCCCCGGGCTTCCCCGAGTCAGCCGCTGGGGGGCCCACCCCGGCGCCCCCCCGGCTGTTCTGCCCCAGGCATCCCGATTCAGCTGCTGCTGAATTGGGGACGCCTGGGGCAGAGCCAGACTGTCAGAAGGGGGGGCTATGAGGAGTCTGGGGTGGCATCCCCCCACACCACCCTAGACCCCTCATAGCCCCCCCCTTCCGATAGTCCGGCATATCTGATAATCCAGCACCCCTTGGGTCCTAAAGGTGCCAGATTATCGGAAGTTTACTGTATTATGCTGGCAGCTAATATTGGATATTGTGTGGTTGTCTTCAAAATAAATTATTCTGAAGAGGATTGGTTTACTTAAGGAAATGGTCTGCAGGACCAAATAATGTTACTGTCTTAAGAAAATCAGTGCTAAAATTCAGTTTGGTCTATACCAGTGCTTCTCAAACTTTTTGGTTCACGGCCCACCCCGCTCAACACAGACTTTCCACAGACTACCAGCCAACCTCCCATGATGACAGAATGGGTGCAGGTGGAGGTTGGGAGGTCTGGCTGGGAACTTGGGTCAGGAGCTGGTTGGCGGTAAGGGTCTCCACATGAGGTTGGGTGTAGGTGAGGGCGCAAGATGTGGGCAGAGGGGAGGATGCAGGCGCAGATTGGGAGTGCGGGGTCTCAGTGGAAGGGGGATGGAAGGTGCTTACCATGCCTCTTTGCGGCTTTCTGCACCCCCACACCCTGAGCCCTGGCTAATGGGATCAGTGGGGAATAGCCTCCAGGCAAGTGGTTTCCTGCGCTGCCTTTCCCCATACAGCAGTGCACAGAGCCACTTCCTTCCCCCGCAGGCTGGATCTGGCCTGCAAGGCACATTCCTCACCCCTCAGCAGCGGGAGCTGGTGCTCCAACCTCACAAGCAGGGCAGGGCCCGTCTTGCAGGCCCGCAGCCCACCTGCAAGACCTAGCAGTCCACAGTCCACACTTTGAGAACCCCTGGTCTATGCATGTGAGAGATGACTTTGTAACACTCTCGGATAATATAAAGCACATTTTTTGGTAGTTCTTGGTACTATAGAAAGCCTTACAAGCTGATCAGTTAGCACATTTGTGTCATATCACAGTTCGCCTGGTCTTTAGCCACTGTCATAGCCGCTTCATCCTTTATTCTATCCCATGCAAGGAACTTCTGGTGTACCACAAAGCTAGTTTACAGCAAGACTTCATTCAAGTGAATTACAATGACATGCTTTAAATATATGCACTAGCTGATATTACATCACATTTTTAAGAGGCTATTGTAAAATGATCTTTCTGTAGAAATTGTAAGCATGTGCTACTTTATTTTTCTCAGTTTCTTCCAGTTTAGTGCTGCATGTCAGTGACCTTCACTGACTTGAATGAAAGCTAAATTGGCTTTATCTAGTGTTCCGATGGGGTACTAATATTAATTTTTGCTAGACAATGTTGTAATGATGCTGCATGTAAACATGTCTGTATTTTAACTTGTATTTTAAATAGTTTTTTACAGGCTGGTGGATTATCATAGATGCAGCTGTTAAATATCCTCATATGGAAGACTTCAACCATTCCTACCATGCTTGTGGAGTTATAGCCACTATTGCATTCCTAATGTAGGTGTAATTTCTTTACCAGTACAACATACATTATTGAAATTGCATCATGTGGTTAATACTTTTTTAAATTGCAGGCTCTTATTCTGAACTTCCACAGTCTTGTTTATAGCTATATGTCTATGTTCAGCAGTTAAACTAACGCTATTTCTGCTGTATTGAGAGGTTATTGTGTGGAGTATTTTGTCACCTAAATCATGTGAAATGTATATAAATCAGCACTGAACCACATATATACAAATTTACACGTAGGAAAATCCTCATATTCACATGTGACCCTGTTGATCTCTTTTTAAATTATACAGATTTTTTAATTGTGTAGATTTAATTAATCTGGTTTTGAAACTGCTTTAATTTTTTTCAAATTTGAGCAACTAAATTAACTGTGCCCTCCTTTTCAGAGCAACAGTTGGGGAAAATATTTATAAAGTAATAAGATGCCACCATTCTTGTAAATGAAAATAGAAGAAATTATTCAAATATGCATTTTCTTTACAGCTTCATCTGCATTTCTCAATTGTATTCTGTTTTCATGCAGGATCAATGCAGTATCCAATGGACAAGTCCGTGGTGACAGTTACAGCGAAGGCTGTCTTGGGCAAACAGGTAAAAATGTTATAAATAGCTGGTTGGTCCCCAGCCTGTAACAATGCTTGGGATTCTTCCGTCCCAAGTGCAGGACTCTGCACTTGTCCTTGTTGAACCTCATCAGTTTTCTTGTGGCCCAATCCTCCAATTTGTCTAAGTCACTCTGGACCCTATCTCTGCCCTCCAGCATATCTACCTCTCCCCCCAGCTTAGTGTCATCTGCAAACTTACTGAGGGTGCAATCCATCCCCTTATCCAGGTCATTCATAAAGATATTGAACAAAACCGGTCCTAGAACCGAACCTTGGGGCACTCCACTAGAAACCGACCGCCATCCTGACATCGAGCCATTGATCCCTACCCGCTGGGCCCGGCCTTCTAGCCATCTTTCTAGCCATCTTACCGTCCATTTATCCAATCCACATTCCCTTAACTTCCTGGCAAGAATATTGTGGGACACCATATCAAAAGCCTTGCTAAAGTCAAGGTCTATCACATCCACTGACTTTCCCACATCCACAGAGCCCTCATCATAGAAGCTAATCAGATTGGTCAGGCACGACTTGCCCTTTGTGAATCCATGCTGACTATTCCTAATCACTTTCCTCTCATCCAAGTGCCTCAAAATGGATTTCGTAATGATCCCTTCCATGATTTTTCCAGGAACCGAAGTAAGACTGACCGGCCTATAGTTCCCTGGATTGTGTCTCTTCCCTTTTTTGAAGATTGGCACTACATTTGCCTTTTACCAATCATCCGGGATCTCTCCCGATCTCCACGACTTTTCAAAAATAATGGCCAAAGGCTCCTCAATGACATTTGCCAACTCCCTCAGTACCCTCGGATGCATTAAATCCGGCCCCATGGATTTGTGTACGTTTAGCTTTTCTAAATAGTTCCTAACCTGTTCTTTACCCACCAAGGTCTGTCTATCTTCATCCCATCTTGCGTCACTTAGTGCATTAGTCCAGGAGCCGACCTTGTCCGTGAAGCCAGAGGCAAAGAACACATTGAGTACTTCAGCTTTCCCCACATCATCTGTCACTAGGTTACCTCCTTCATCCAGTAGGGGCCGCACACCCTGGCTGATCACCTTCTTCTTGTTAACATGCTGTTAGCAGCAGCAGAAGAGCCAGCACTACCTGAGCTGGGATGGGGGGAGAGTGCACAGGGGAGAGGCAGGGCGGCTGGGATGCACACCTGCCCCCTGGCTGCGGGGCTCCGTAGCTACCCTGCCTCTTCAGCAAATGAGCTGTTTGCGGCACTTTGGAAGCTTCCCCAAAGAGGAGTTGCTGAGCACAGGCCCAGATTTTCCCCATGAGTGCTCCAGCCCAGAAGCACCCAGGGAAATCAGGGATGTTAATGGTTAACGGGTAAGCCGGTAGAGGCTGGAGCAGCCCTCTGCCCACTCCCCTTCATCCCATTTCCCCAGTTTAATCGGTTAACTAGCTACATGACCGGCTGGTTGGTTCTCCCCCACTTCTCCTCCCGATCTTCCCCGGCCAGCCCCGCTGCACCCATTTAAGGTGTCAAGAAACTTTATCTCTGCATCCTGTCCTGAAGTAACATGTACCCCATCAATAGGGGGATATTTGAAATCTCCTGTTATTATTGGGTTTTATTTGTATAGCCTCTCTAATCTTCCTTACTGTGCACAATGTGCGTCCCAATCTTGAAATATGTGGTATTTGTATAAACTGTTTTGAAACTAGAGTAGATGGAAAGTCATTATATTCATGCGTGTGTATATTTTTAAGGTGCTCGCATCTGGCTGTTTGTTGGTTTTATGATGGCTTTTGGGTCTCTGATTGCTTCCATGTGGATCCTCTTTGGAGGCTATGTTGTTAAAGGTAAGATATGATACAAATCTTATTTTTTCATGGTTTACTTTACTGTGATAGTGTTTTAAATGAATACTGAATGAATGAGTGAGGGTTGTCTTTCTGCGACATCTTCAAGAGAGCATTTTTTTAATATTTAAGCCTTAGTCAACTGGTGCAGGCCCCATCCCAGACTTTCTCTATTTTACCCTCTTTTCCCGTCCTCTTCCTTATCATCCATTTCTATTGTCACTATTTATCCTATTCTGTATTTTTCTTTATTCGTTTTTTCTCCAGCTATATTTTTCCTCCCCTTTTCCAGTCACCTTTTCTCAATGGTAATATTCCAGCAGATAATCTTTTCAAAGAGTCTGTTCCAATTTCTGTAAAGTGTATGTTACTGTTCATCCGTCTTCTGTGCTATAAAGCCAGCAGTTGGCATCACTGAGAACTGAAGGAGTGTCTACACAGAAAGATCTAGTGGTGTAGTTATGCCAGTTTAACTCCCTGTGGACACTCTCATTCCAGCATATCTTTCAACCACTTCCAAAGTGATATAAACAAAACCCGAAAAAAGGCATTCTTTGCACAATAGAAGTCTCTGCATATAGAGTTTTACTAGTGTAACTATAATTTTCAAGTTACATTTTTATATTGGCGTAATTTCTCATGTAGACAAGCCTTGAGAAACCTGAGGGAATTGGACACTGTTTGGTTCTTGTATAAATAAGAGATCATTTTATAAAATATAAACAAAGCCATGAGCCAGTTCCAGCCAGGAATAGCAGAGGTGAAGGTAATGTGATGTTGAAGTTTGGCAGGAGTCATAGAGTACTGGCAAGGGTGAGAGACATTCTGTTAAAAGTGAACCTTTACATTCTTTTCTGCACTGATATTAGTTACCCATCTGCTCTATGAAGCATTTAGGGTGGATTTCTGAAGGAGCCTAGCAGAGTTAGCTAGCCAACTCTCAGCAAGATCCTTCCCAACTCCTTTGGTTCTGTTCTATGTACAGGCAGTCCCCGACTTACGCGGATCCGACTTATGTCGGATCCGCACTTACGAACGGGGCTTTTCTCACCCCGGAGCTCGCGGGCGGCGGGACCGCCCAGAGCGCAGCGGTCCCGTCACCGCGTCCTCCGGGGTGAGAAAAGCTGCTCCGGGTCTCCCTGGTGTGCTGGGGGGGAGTCCCCCCCAGCACAGCAGGGAGACCCGAGCAAAGCCGCAGAGGCAGCGGGATCTCTGCGCCTCCGTGGCTTTGCTCAGGTCTCCCTGGTCTGCTGGGGGGGAGGGGGTGCAGCTAGTGCGGCCCCCCCCCCCCCGACAGACCAGGCTTTTGTTGCGGGACGCCTGGGGTAGAGCAGCTGGGGTGCTGCCGGGTTGGTCCTGCGGGGACCTACCCAGCAGCGCTCCAGCTGTTCTGTCCCTGGAGTCCAGATTCAGCCGCTGTTGAAACTGATCAGCGGCTGATTCCAGGAAGCTGGGGGCAGAGCAACTCTGCCTAGGGCTTCCTGTAGTCAGCCGCTGATCAGTTTCAGCAGCGGCTGAATCTGGAGCCAGTTCCGATTTGCATACAAATTCAACTTAAGAACAAACCTATAGTCCCTATCTTGTACGTAACCTGGGGACTGCCTGTATCTGTATATTGTACTGACTTGTTCCTCTAAGGTATTTGAAACAGGGACATTCTTATTTGTGCAGCACCTTGAATATATGCAGTGTCGTACAAAACCAGGACAGTGCTGATAGTCCCATGTGGTCATTGCATTTATGATCTATGTTTTAGTCTAAAAAGTGAGGTATGTCTAAGGTAGTAAACTAAATGTTTTTTTCTGAACAGAAGGCTATTGTATGATGCTCCCAGGGAGCTGGATGTTATGCTTTTTCTTCTGGTGCACACAATTGACAGATGGCGGGTGGAGGTTCATCATGTTAGAAATGGACATAGAGAGACAAACTTCTATCCCATGTCATAAGATAATAACAAAATTGCCTAAGTGAAACTGTAATGACAGCAATGCCCAAAAAGCTACACTATGCTCAGTTTACTTGGCTATGGAATCCTATTCTTCCTTTCTGTGCCCTTTTCAACTATTTTTTTCAGGCATTTACAATGTTAACTGCAGCATTACAATTTTGAAGTCCTTGTTGATTTTCCCTATGTACATTTTTTCCTGTTACTTTGCATCATTTAATGTGTATGTGTTAGTGTTTAGTTCTGGTTAGTGCTTTCCTGTCAAACTAAATTTGTTCCTTAAAGTTACTTGACAAAACATAAGCCAGATTTCTCCAAATATGCTTTTCCTGCACTGAGCTGCTAATATTTGTCAACGTGACACTGGAGCCTAGTGTCTCTGAAATATCAGAAAGAGAGAAACAGGATATTGTTGAGAAAACCATTCTGAAAATCTAATAGAATTTTTTTTTCTTTTGTCAGAAAAACCACTAGTATACCCAGGAATAGCTGTCTTTTTCCAGAATGCATTTATCTTCTTTGGGTAAGTCTGTTTTCCTTCGTTTTATCCCTTTATCCTTCTAAACCAGTGGTTTTCAAACTAGGCTATGGGAATTCTTAACAGGGGTAAAGGAGCAAAATCCTGTAATGGCGAACCATGCATTCTATTTAGTAACACGTGGCAATCTAATCAACCTTTAATCTCCTTTCAATTAAAACTGCAGACATGTTGGTAATAGTTTCCTCAAATTGTGGTGCACACTCCACTTGGGAGTGCAGAGGAACATTCAGAAGAGCAATGCAGCAGTACCAAATCACTTTTGCCACAAGCTGTTGTGGCTGTGCACATCCCTGAATATTTCCTTGCATCCCCCAGTTTAAAAACCAAGAAGCTGTTGCTAAATGGAAGGCAGAAATTGGGGGGGTGAGCCTGGGGGAGAGCCCACAGGAATCCCACCCCTTACGTGTCACCTCTGCCTATCTTAGGCTATGTCTGGACTGCATTACTCTCTCGAAAGAGGATTTACAAATCTCGCACTTCATTTGCATTATCGCGTCCACGTACTTTTTTTTGGGGGGGGGAACCCCGCAGTCTAGATGGGTTTATTTTGGGGGGGAAAACCCTTTTTTGAAACAACCCGTACACCTCATTTTCTCAGGAGTATGGGTTCTTTGGAAAAAGGAGTGGGGTGTTTTGTTTTTTTTTAAAAGAACCCTTTTTCGAAAAACGCTTTTTCGAAAAAGCGCTCAGATGCGATTATGCAAAAGAAGCACGAGATTTGTAAATCTGTGCTTCATTTGAATATTCTATCTGCTTCATTTGCATTCCTCTTTCGAGAGAGGAATGCGATCTAGACAAGCCCTGAGTCTAGTTCATATTAATATCTCACATCGAACATTAAGTATAAAACTAGTCTATTGTAATTACCTGTTACTGTTATTTCTACAACCCGCTCACCCCCAATCTTTGAATGATACACATGTGGCTAGATCTCCAGTGAAGTTAGTGGGGTTCAGGGATCTGCCTCTATGGATCTGCTTGAAGGATCAGGCCTCAAGTTTGTGGGTTACAAAAGTCTATACTATTTGAAACTTTGTCTCAAGACTTGCGATTTTGAGTTGCTTCCTTTTGAAGTTGATGGCTCTTGTATCCTGTGCAGCTAAACTTTTGTATTTATGCCTATTTGTTTTATTTTTGAACAGAGGGCTGGTCTTTAAGTTTGGTCGCACTGAAGACTTGTGGCAGTGAATGGGTCAGGGGAAGTGAGTCAGACCTATGACTTTTTTTACTGCACTGACCTGATTGGTTTTTGTTTGTTTGTTTGTAATGCAATTTTATAGCTCTTGAATTATTGCTAAGGATAAAAATGAAAATATAAAATCATGAGGCAATACAATTTCCATTTTCTGTTCTGTTTAAAACCGTTTTTTACTATTGGCTGTTGGTTTTAAGTGTTGTATCATGTGAGTGAGATGAAACGCTAATGGAGAAAGTGTAACAATGGAAAACACTCGTATATTTGTTACAAGTAAATATAGAGGAAAATGTCTGTATTTAACTAAATGTTTTGCACTGTATTTGAGGTCCAAAACTGCAATTAAAAGTACTTTAAAACAATTTTAATACTTATTTATTACAATATGGAATGTCCTACATGATGCTGAACACTATGAACGTCCTGGATTTCAGTATTTGATGTGGTATTTCTTCATAGTGTACAGTACTCTGCCTCATTTGGTTTTATATGAAAATATTTGATGAGTCATACTGAAATGGTTCAAAAATTTAGAATAAAAATTAGTTATTGTTGTGTAAGAGTTCATGAAGATTAGAGAGGCCTTAGCCAGGTGTTTAGGATGGGCATCTGGGAGGAGAGACCCAAATTCAAGTCCATGTGCCAGTGACTCTATAAAACGTGAACCTCCTTCTAGGGTTGCCAGATATTTTCACAAAAAATACCGAACATGGCGGGGGAAAAATTGGTTGAGCAAAAGAAAGGGTCACTGTGCCTTTAAATCCCAGTGCTCCACACTCCCCGCTCTCCCCACCAGATGCGGCAGGGGAAGAATGTCCCAAGTGGCCTTCCATCCGAGACAAACAAAATACCGGACATTTTACATGTCCGGTATTTTCTGGTTTTTTTTACCGGACAGAGGCCGCAGATACCGGACTGTCCTGGCCAATACCAGACACCTGGCGAATATCTGAGGCCAGGAGCTAGGCCATGGCATTCTCCTGACAGGTGGGAGAGACCAGTTTCTGTGCAGGGCTCTAGAGATAAGCAGGTCAGTGATTATCTTGTGACACAGAACTACAGACTAGCTTTTCCTGTACCTGGAGCTCCTTCATTACTGCCAATGGAGTAATAAGAAGCGTTAGTGACCAAATAAGTGTTAGTTTCCCTTGCTCAAGGACCATATACACATTTCTGTATCCAAGAATATCATTTCAATCTATTATGGCAGAGTGTTGCCAGTTTGCTTTATTTTCAAGCAACTGTACTAATTCAAGACAACCAATAGAGGCAATAGTAATAGAAATGTAGCCGTGTTAGTCTGGGGTAGTTGAAGCAAAATGCAGGACTATGCAGCACTTTAAAGTCTAACAAGATGGTTTATTAGATGATGAGCTTTCGTGGGCCAGACCCACTTCCTCAGATCAAATAGTGGAAGACGAATGGAAGAGTGGAAGAGCCAGACGAATACCCAGAAACCATCTACTTCAAGACAGACCCAAGAAAACCAACAATAGAACACCACTTGTCATCACCTACAACCCCCAACTTAAACCTGTCCAACACATTATCAATAAACTACAGCCTATACTGGAACAGGATACCATACTCCAAGAGGCTCTGGGAGACAGACCCATAGTCTCCTATAGACAACCACCTAACCTCAAGATGATTCTTACCAACCACCACAGGACATACCACACTAATACCAACCCTGGTACCTTCCCTTGCAACAAACCCCGTTGCCAGCTTTGTCCACATATTCATTCTGCTGATACCATTATTGGACCTAACCAAGTGAGTTATAAGATCAAGAACACATATTCCTGCGCATCCAGAAATATAATTTATGCTATCATGTGCCAAAAGTGTCCGTCTGCTATGTACATTGGACAAACGTCTCAGACGCTTCGCCAAAGGATTAATGCCCACAAAACAGATATCAGACAAGATCACAAAGAAAAAACTCTTTCTTGCCATTTCAACCAGAAAGGACACTGTCTCAATGACTTAACCACCTGCATTCTGCTACAAAGACCTTTTACATCTGCACTTGAAAGGGAATCCTCTGAACTGTCATTCATGTTAAAATTTGACACTCTCCGGGGGGGGGGGGGGGGGGGGGGGCAAAAAGCCACAAAAGTGCATACTTCAATGTAGGTCTTTTCCAAATAAGCAACTGCTGTAGTTGCCATAGGGGTATTTTATGAGCACAAACAGTGTCCTTATTCAGACAGGAGACACCTAAGAAATCTCTAAGTCTGTTCTGCAATGTGATTTGTCCTTTTCATATGTGTTAATTTTTTTTAATTGTTTCCTTTGGTATATATGGTTGTGACTATTTTCTTCCACTATTTGATCTGAGGAAGTGGGTCTGGCCCACGAAAGCTCATCATCTAATAAACCATCTTGTTAGTCTTTAAAGTGCTACACTGTCCTGCATTTTGTTAATAGAGGCAATGTCTGTATTAATGTAGGCAATTGAAAAGCTTTGAGTGAAATAAAGAAAGAAACTCTGACTTAAGATGCTCAAAAGGTATGTAATGGCCTAACTCGTGGAAGTCAGCAGAGGTGCATGCCTAAAGATCTTTGAAGATTGGGCTCTCAGTAATAAGGCCTCAGTCCTACAAGGAGCTCCATGTGGGTACAGGAATCTGCGTGCACAGAACTCATTACAGCATTGAAAATAACTATATACTAAGATGGGGTGGGCAAGAATTTTTTACCTGGGGCCACTTTAGAAATTTTTGAAGTGTAAGGGGTGAGGGCTCAGGCAGAAGGGATGGGGCCAGGACATTTCCATGCTTCCCCACCCACAGACCCTGATTAGTCTGGGAGTCGGGGAGCATGCAAAGTCTTTGCCCCTCCAGAGAGAACCGCCAGATGTTCTGAACTGCTGGCAGTTCCCTCTAGGCACCCGTGTCCTGGCAGAGGCAGGAGACTTCACCTGCTGCCCCCCGCTCAGTCAGGGCTTGGAGAGGGGGAGCACAAGAAGTTTCTCGCTCCTTGCCTCCACCCTGCAAGGGAGCGCCGGACCTAGAGGGAACCGCCAGCTTAACAGCAGCTGGCAGTTGACTTTATGTGCTGAATCCCTCATAGGGCAGGAGGAGACTTCACGCGTTCCCTTGCCCCTGTCCCCAGGCCAATGAGGGCTTCGGGGCAGGGGGAGCACGCTGTCTCCTCCTGCCCTGCCAGCAGCACACAGGCATTCCTTGCAGGGCGGGAAGAGACTTCATGTGCTTCTCTCCTGCCCCCAGACCCTGATTGGCCTGGGAGCAGGAGGAGCGGCAGGGCCGCCGCAGGCTGGGTCAACTTGCTTAGTGGGCTGATCTGGCCCACGGAGGTCCTTTTGCCCATCCCTGTGCTAAGACCATGGTCCTGAGTCCAATGCAGGTAGGCCCTTGTGGTGATTACTAAAGTCTGTGCAGAGTTGAGGATTTCAGTGCAATCTGATGCAATACTTGTCTGCTTTTAACTACAGGGGATGCATTTTTCAGACAAACTGATTTCTCATCTTGACTGTGCCCCATAAAAGGCAAAATCATGTTGAAAACTCCCCTCGCACAAGGCTTTTTACATTGTTTGCTTTAACACGTGTTTAAAGGTAAAGCATTCAATATTAGGGGTTATAAACATCAAGCCAGGATAAAGCCCTTTAGAAAGTGGCTTATGATGAGCTCTGTTACTAGAACTGTCTGTTACACTGTACAGGCCCTATTCTGCAAGCCCCGTACTCCCAAAACTAGCTCCATTTGAGGCAATGGAGTTACTTGTATGAGCAAAAACTGCCCTTAGTCACTTCAGTACAGTAGAGTGCTGCTCACATAGCCGTGGCGGCTCTGACCCTTTGAACAGCTGAATATTTTCAACTGCCAGGGAAGATTGTGATTGAGACCAGTGGTCCCTGTAACCTGGGCACTTGGGCAGCTGCTCAGGAGAACTTCAGGTGCTGCCCAGCTGATTAGCAGAGCACCCACAACTAGGTGGTGCACATTCACCCATTACTCAGTGCACCTAAAGTTTGTTCCACACATGGAGGGAAAAAATTAGTGGGGCACTGATTGAGACTCCCAGGCACTCTCCACAGCTCAGGAGTGAGTACAAGCAGTCCCCGGGTTACGCGGATCCGACTTATGTCGGATCCATACTTACGAACTGGGCTTTTCTCGCCCCGGAGGAATTGGACGGCGGGACCACCCAGACGCGCCACGGTCCTGCCGCCCGGGTCCTCCGCGGCGAGAAAAGCTGCTCTGCGTCTCCCTGGTCTGCCGGGGGGGGGACCCCCACCCTCCCGCAGGCCAGGCCTTTCTCGCTGA